CCACCTGGCGTGTCAGGAAGTGGGGCTGCAGCTCCAGATGTCCCAGCTCTGTGACCCAGGACTAGTGACCTAAACCCTGTGCTCTGTGCTTCTGTGAGTAACAGGAGGCACTCGTGCGAGGGCTGCTGCAGGTCCTGCATGGGAGCTGTTGCACAGTATCAGCTGTGCCTGACACCCAGTGCGTGACTTTGTTGGGAGGTACCAGGAGCCTCACGCCCCATGCTGTGGAGGAGGGTGGCCCTGTTTTGATGAGTCACCATAGCACGTCCTTGTGTGTGAGCCATCCCAGTTTCATTTACATGGAGCCTCTTTGGCCCTGAGCAGGTCCCTTGTGACCCTTCTACTCATCATCTCCTTTGACCCCAACAGCCCTGTGAAGGAGGGGTCTTCACCTCCATTTTCTGGAAGGGGGAGGCAGGGGCTACAACTTTCCTCAGGCTTGTTGGATGACCTCAGGCTTGTTGAGTGACTTGTGAATGGTGGGTACCCTTCACGGTGGCCAGAACACAGATCTTAAATGGACTGTGAGTGAAGCCCAGAGCTTACCAGGCAGGAAGGGGTTGCCAGGAGGGTGAAGAGGAGAGACCAGCAGGAAGAGGATTCTCCCTCTGTCTCCAGAAAGGAGCACAGCCCTGCCGTCATCTCGATTTTAGCACATCTGACCTCCAGTGTTGAGAAAGCACATTTCTCTTGTCTTAAGCCATCGTGTTCATGGTGATTTCTTACAGCAGCCTGCCCTAGGAAGCTAACCAGTTCCCTGCCCTTGCTGTACTTGCCCTCAGCTCAGGCACAGTGTGACAAGTGCTGTAGGGAAAGAAGTATAGGGTCCTGTGGCTGGGAAAGGTGTCTTGGGGACAGGGATCACAGGGCAAGTCCAGGTTGGCCAGGCAGAGGGCAGCCTGTTGAAGGCCGTGGGCGACATGGGAATGGAGCTGTGAAGGACATAGACCTGGTTGGAGTACAGAGGGGCTGGAGAGAGGGGGCAGCATTACTGGGACCTCAAGAACCCCAGGGCACAGGCAGCCACCAGGAGAGTGGGAGAACAGGTCATGCGGGACTTGTGCCAACATCCAGGGGCACACCTGGGGGGACAGTGCTGTATTAGTCTGTTAGTGTTGCTTATAATAGAATACCTGAGACTGGGTAATTTATAAAGAAAAGGGGTTTGTTTGGCTTATGAATCTGGGACAGCTACATCTGGTATGGGCCTCAGGCTGCTTCTACTCATGGCAGAAAGTGGCAGACAGCCAGTGGGTGCAAGATGACAAGGCAAAAGGAAGCAAGAGAGAGGAGGGGGAGGTGCCAGGGTCCTTTAAAGAACCAGCTCTCACGGGAACTAATAGATCGAGAACTCACTCATGACCCTTACCCCCAGGGAGAGCATTAATCCATTCATGAGGTATCCACTCCCATGACCCAAGCAGCTCCCAACACTGCCACACTGGGGATCAGATTTTGACATGAGCTTTGGGGGGACAACACATCCAAACTCTGTCAGGGGCTTAGATTGGTGGCTGTGGGGGTGGAGAGAGACTAGTGGGAAGAGTGCTGATGCCACCTCTTGTTGCCTGGCACAGACCCTCGCAGAGCTAGGGCTGTGTGACTCCAAAGCCTGTGTTTGATCTTGTCTGGAATGGGGCATGTGATCAGGTAGTGTAATTACCATTATTGTCTCCAGTTTGTCTCTTTGATCATTTTGTCATGTCTTGCCAGCTGGAGGCCAGGGCCTGTTCCTGTGCTTGTCCTGTATGTGTCCCCGTCCCCTGCCTCTCTGGTGGTGGGCAGGCTCCAGTGTACCCTTCTGACCTCCTGCTGGATTATACTGAAGCTGGAGGAGGTGAGGCCAAGAGATGCTCGACCCAGAGAGGGATTTGGTGGGGCTGGAAAGGAGGGCCACTGGGACAGGCTGGTGGGCTGGTGGATGAAGAGCTTCCTTTCAGCTCTCTCGAGGCTGGTCTTCTGGTGTAAATATTTAATGGAGGTGAGGATGGGACTTGTGGAACTGAAGTGGTCGATATTGATATAAGAAGATTTTAATGTGCAGAGAATGTCTGTCTTGGTCATTGGCTGCAGGAGCTACAGATGGAAGGGGTGGGGGGGTAGGGAGCTCTAAAAATAGATAATGAAGATGTCACTGGGAGAGGCCCATTTTGGGGACTCTGCCCACAGTCTGGCTTTTAAGGACATGGACCCCCTGTACAGCTACCCTGAGCATCTGGTTGGTGAGTCCTCACCTGGAGGAGTGAGTGGGTCAGCCATGCCCTGGTTCTGTGACCTTGTTGCATTGGAGAATGTGAATTGAGCACGGCCAATTCTGCTGGCTCTCCTGGAACAGCAAAGAGCAAGACAGAGCCTTCCCTGTCCTTATGGGGGCAGGGATGGGAGCACAGAGAGGAATGTGCAGGCCGTTCCTGGGCTGTTAGCACAGTGGGGACAGGGTGACAGGACGGAAAGCGGGAGTGTTAGTGATATAGCTGATCCGGTGAAAGAGTGAGGGAGTGAGAGGGCTCTGGGCAGACGCAGACAGCCGTGCCCAGGGCACGTTCCAGCCTCAGCAGGGAGATAGCAGAAGCCCAGCTTGGGGAGGGAGTGGTGGGTCACAGGTGCCAGTTAGGGAGGGTGCAGAGTGGCTGGCAGGAAGGGGTGCAGAGCCATCAGAGGGACTTCGGTGGATGGCGGCGTGGTCTAACGTCCATGTGGACACTGTGGTCCTGGCTGCTGCTTTGAGAAGCCTGGAAGGCGGGTGAGCTGGGCAGTAGCAGAGTCTTGTGGAGCCTTTGCAGGAGGTGGTTCAGGCAAGAGGACGCAGTGTCGCCCTGGGTAGGACACACCTGAATTTGCGGGGTTTGCCGAGGCACCAGGTGTGAGGAAGCAGGAAAGGTGAGCTCTTGGGTATGGGGTGGCCGTTTGCTGAGGGGGGCCACAAGGGCTATGGAGAAGACTCAGCCTTGGACCCAGGCACCTGGAGCAGCCGGTCCTGGTGAGGCACGGGCAGCGGCTGTGTCCGTGGTGACAGGTGCATGTGAGGGTGGGGCTGAGGGAGGCTATCTAGGGGTGCAGGCAGCCTGAGGGAAGTCTGAGGGCTGCATGCTGGGCTGTCAGTGTGCTCAGGAGGGAAGATGGGGGGAACTGGAGACAGAGACTGAAGCCCTGCAGTGAAGGGACAAAGGTGTGTTAAGCTATGTCCATTTCTTCTGCGAGGTCAGAGGAGGCGATCCTCTGTGAGGACTGGGAGGGCCCCAGCTACCTGGGGACCCAGAGCTGTTTCACGGGTGTTGAACTCCAGGGACTGGAGAATGTGCAGAGAGCTGCCTTCTCCCCAGAGTCCCCTCTGGTCCCAGCTTCCTCGTGGCTGGGGGTCCTGCCTG